CATTCTCATTCTCATCACAGTGACCAGTCATTTCTTGATGAGGAAGAGGCCTTTGACTACTGTCTTTCAGGTGATGAGGAGGATCCTTCTTCAGTCAGTTCCCCTTCCACGGGTCTCTTCCGCCATGAGATGTTCAAGACCTTGCTACACAAGACGAAGATCACTGCCAACATGGGCCTTGCCCAGCCGCTATCGTCGGAAACTTCGGATCCCTGTGACACATCTTTTTACTGAACGGGTCACCCAGCAGGAGACTGTTCCATCTCCAAAACTCTTTTTGGATACTCTTCAACGTCAATGGTCACAACCCGGTTCCATAGCAAATCCGAGCGGTCTGGACAAGAAATTGTACACAGTTGAACAGGAATTTGAGGATGTCCTAAAACCCATAATTGATCCTCCTATGGCCAGCCTGACCCCCCCTCCCCCAGCATCCTTCCATCCGATGCGGCAGAGGGTCTTCGCACTGAGGACAAACGAACTGAGATATCTACACGTAAGACTCATCTGGCCTCCACATGGGCTATTAAATCAGCCACGGCTGTTTCCTTTTTTGCCAGAACGTCCCTCATCTGGCTCCGACAAATGTAGGCTAGAGCGTCTGCTGAGGATGCTCGCCTGCATCAAAACATCAATAAGATGATCGCCACTTCCGAATACATGGCAGACGCAACCCTTAATTCTGCCAAGTTCGCCTTGTGTGCCATGGCTTCCAATATCACGTCACGTCGTCTGCTTTGGCTATGCCATTGGCAGGCAGACATGAAGACCAAATGGCATCTGGCAGCAGCCCCCTTCAAGGGTGGGTCCCTCTTCGGAGAGGCCTTGGACCCTGTTTTAGTGGAAGGTAGGGACAAAAAGAAGGTCCTCCCTTTCTCATCCAGACATTACGACAGAAGATCTACCTTCCCTTATCGCAGGCAGTCCTTTCGTTCCGCTGAACACAGATTCCAGGCCCCAACTCCTGCAAGACAGTTCGCTCATACATCCGACAAACCTCAGGAGCAACAGTCCTTCAGAGACCGCACATGTCAATCTCAGGGCAGACATCCGTTTCGGGGATCTGGGTTTCATCCCTATCGCAGGAAATGATACCTCTCCCCTTCCAGTCCCCATTGGTGGCCGGCTCGCTTACTTTTCAGACATCTGGCGCTCCTCGACCACCGATGCATGGGCCATACAAATGGTGTCCCTTGGGGGTCACCTTGGAACTCGTTTCTACGCCCCCACGTTGATTTACCAAATGTTCCATCTCCTCTGACCCTTCCAAGAGGGCCTCGATGGAAGCTGGGATTCAACACCTACTGTCCATCCGGGCTATTGAACCGGTGCCCCCAGAACACCAGGGCTCCAGGTTTTATTCTATTTTGTTTTTAGTTCAGAAGAAGTCGGGGGGTCACAGGGCCATTCTGGATTTGAAACGCCTAAACGTCCATATCTGTTACAGGCGCTTTAAAATGCACTCTTGCACTCCATCCTGAACGGCATTAGATTGGGTGATTTTTTTTGTCATCAATTGACCTCCGGGAGGCATATCTACATGTTCCCATTAGGCTGTCCCAGAGGAGGTTTCTTAGATTTTGTTACGGGCAGGCCCATTATCAATACAGGGCTATGCCTTTTGGACTTTCTTCGGCCCCCCGCATCTTTACTAAACTTCTAGATGTGGTGGCGGCTCATTTACAGTCCTTCCCGATTAGATTACAATGTTATTTAGACGACATTCTGATTCAGTCTTCCTCACCTCAACTTGCCCGGAGGGATCTTCAGCAGACCATGTGGTTGTTCTGTCCCTGTCTCACACAACGCACACAAACAGACAGCCGGGGCTTAAATAAACTGGCAGACAACAAATTCTTTCGATAAGAGGATTGGCAGTAACCCAGTAGCTGCTTGCCAAGACTTTACTCATAAACAAGATGCACACAGTTCAAGAATTGTCAAGTCCAGTCCGTAATTAAATCCAAGGCAGATAATGTTGTTTCCAAAGATGCAATGTGACTTGATAGTAGTTAGTTTTGTCCGTCACAGAGTCTGAATGTCCACCTCACCCCCTTTTATACCCTGTGGGATGTGGTCCAGTGACTCAGCTTAATCTCTGGCACGCTTCTTCTTCTGTTGCACGCGCTTATCTCTGCGACACTGCTGAGGATCCAGCCAAGACTCATCTCCCTCATTACTGTCCACCTATGGCTGTGTGGACGTGCTTGGCTCCGGGCCTATCTCTTGACCTTCGGTGGACACCAAAGGCATTGCCAGAGAGGAGGGTCCTGGAGAGGGAGGCCTTGGCAACTCCTCTCCTTCACTCTCGGAGTCCTCTCCTGCTGATGACACAGGCTCAGGTAACAGAGCCACAACAGCGGTTCTGCAGCAACACGGCTTCACAGTGAACTGGGAAAAGAGTCAGTTGATCCCATCCAACGAGTTGGTTCACCTGGGTGCCCGCATCAATACTGTGACAGGTCTGGTCTTCCTATCACAGGAGCGACTTCACAACATCAGACTTACGGTTCAACAAGTCAGAGCGCTCCGCAGAGCTCCTCTTTCAGTTACTAGGACAAATGATTTCATGTTTGTCAATTGTCCCCTGAGCAAGGTTGCACTCAAGACCACTCCAATTGCTGCTTCTTCCAAGCCAGAAGGCGGGCACCAGCAACTCTAACACCCGGATCAGGGTGCCCCCAAAAGTACTCAGGTCATTCCACTGGTGGACATCCGCTGCTCTGAAAAAGAGGTCTCCCTTTCTCGAACCACACCGTCTTATAGTCACCACGGATGCCAGTCTGGTCGGTTTGGGTGCGCATTTCAACTCCCAGATCACTCAGGGGTGCTGGACGTCCAAAAATCTTCTCAACGACATCAACTGGCTTGAGCTGCGGGCTGCCATCTAGCTCTTCGTCATTTCCAAAATCAACTGTTGGAGCATCATGTTCTCTTACGAATGGACAATGTCACGACAGAAGCCCATGTAATCATCAGGGCGGTACTCGTTCCAGACTCCTCATGGACGAAGCCGCTCAGCTGGGCCTTTGGGCAGAGAGACACCTGCTCTCCTTACAAGCAGAACACATAGCAGGGGGTCTCCAACACTCGTGCGGACTGGCTGAGCCTGATCCCTCTCTCTTTCGTCAAATTGTACAACTTTTTGGTCAACTGTTAGTGGATCTGTTCTCCACTCCGACCAATGCCCAGGTGACCCGATTCTTCTCCAGATTCTGGACTCCAGAGGCCGAGGGCACCAACGCACTTCGCTGCCAGTGGCCTCCAGGTCGACTCTATGCCTTCCCTCCCATTCCATTGATTCCAAGGGTTGTACGGAAGATCCTGGAGGAGAAAGAGGTCATTTTGATCGCTCCCTTTTGGCCCCGGCTGACCTGGTTCGTGGACCTCAAAGAGCTCTCGATAGCTCCGCCTTGGAGGATACTGCCGGACCAAGTTTCACTTCATCAAGGAGCAGTGGCTCATCCAGACCCCCAGTGGCTTCAGCTAGCCGTTTGGCTATTGAAAGGGAGCTTCTGAAACAAGATCAGTTTTCGGACGAGGTGATAGCCACTCTTCTCACATCGTGCAGAAGCTCCACCACTTGCATTTATGACGCTACTTGGTCTGTTTTTCGTCGCTGGTGTGTCTCATCGCACATTGATCCCACACGACTGACCATTCCACAGATCCTGGAGTTTCTTCAGGCAGGCCTCAAGTCGGGGTTGGCGGTCAATACCCTACGACGGCAGGTCGTGGCCCTGGCGACAGTTATCTCCTGCAAGGATCACAAGTCACTGGCCAATCATCCCCTTGTTCGTTGCTTCCTACAGGGACTGGCCAACCTAAGACCGCCTGTTATTCATAGATACCCTTCGTAGGACTTGTGCATTGTTTTACAGGTTCTAATGGAGGCACCTTTCAAGACCCTGTCTTCTGTCAGTCTCAAGTTCCTGACCTTCAAGGTTGCCTTCCTAGTTGCTATCACTTTGGCTCGTCATGTATCCGAACTGGCAGCCTTTTCCGTTTGCAAGGATCTGTGCATATTCCATTCGGACCTTGTCTTACGATTGGCCCCACCTTTCTTCCGAAAATCAATACCTGTTTCCACAGGACTCAAGAGGTTGTACTACCGGATTTCTGTCCCCATCCTGTTCACCACAGCGAACGCCGCTGACATAAATTGCATGTTCGTCGAGCGCTTAAAAAGTACATAACCAGGACCGCTTCCTTCCACAAATCGGAATCATTGTTGGTTTCCTTTCAACCTATTTCTCTTGAATCCAAGGTTTCTTCCTCCACCATCGCCCGCTGGATCAAGGTCTGCATCACTCTGGCTGATGAGCGACGGAACGAACAGCTTCCCTGTCGTATTACAGCTCATTCGACCTGTAGCGCCGCCACCACCGTGGCCTGGGCCACCAGGCCCCTCTTCTCGAGATCTGCCGGGCAGCTACCTGGGTGTCACTGACGTCCTTCATTCATCATTACAAGTTGGACAAGTTTGCATCAACCGAGGCAGCCTTTGGCCGCAGGGTTCTTCAGCGAATCCTCCCTGTGGAGGGCAGTTTCACCTCCTCTGTCTCTTCCCGCCCTGGGGATATTTAGCTTGGGTATATCCCACTCAATGGACTCTCTAAACAGCGCAAGGGAGAATGAACATTGGAAATTACCTGAAGGTTCTTTCTTCTTGCGCTGTGTGAGAGTCCATACCCTCCCTTGTTTTTTTCTTGGGACCCTTCTTTGTGTTCTGTTTCGCTCAGGGTGTCAGTTTAGCCCCAGTTCTGCACCTGTTTAGCCCCAGTTCTGCACGAAGTCCGAATCCGAAGTCCACTCAATGGACTCTCACACAGCGCAAGGAAAAAGAACCTTCAGGTAAGTCCAATGTTCATGTTTTTCTAATGTGAACTCTGAGGATTGCTTGAAATATAAGAATTCAGATAACTAGTGGCAATTATTTAAATTAACAATATTTCATATAATGGATTTTAGCCACATAAAATTATTCTTCATTTTTAAAGGCCACATCCTCAGATCCATTGTATATAGAACACCATGAAGAAACAGGTGCTAGTATAACAGACAGCAATCAATTATTTGAAGACAACCATCATGTTAATCGCTCAAAGGCAATTGCTCAAAAGACAAAGGAAATTGAACAAGTAAGCCACACTTTGCTTTTATGAATACTTGTGAGGGTTTTTTTTCCTCCAAATTAACTTTGCTTACAATTTGACTAAAAGTTTTAACTGATCTACACAACATAGTTTAAGATGAAATTAATAGCAAATTTATTACAATGATTTAAATTTCAAAAATAAATCTGGCACTTTCTTTTACTACAAAAAGAGTTTAATTGCTTTCGTTATTTGTTGTTTTTTGTTGTTATCAGATCAAAATTAATACATTCATTGGATTGAGAATATAAAGGAATGTTTCGTTAAGTTAGCTTGTTTCACTGTCCTAATAAGTGTTCATTTTAGGAAGTATAAGGTTGTATTTTCACTGTAATTTGCAACTTTGCCATGACTATATTTTGGAATGCTATTCAATAATTATTATGGATGACTATCTCCAGTGTTACGGTTTGTGAACATCTATTAACTTTTGTGGTGCAATTGAGTAAATGCTAAGAGCAAAACACATTTTTTCACATCTCTATTTAAATTTTTATCTCACCTTCCATCTTTAAATCATCTTATACTGTTTTTAATTTCAATATTTATTACTGGGAAAGTAGAGTAAATTTCCCATGAAATAGGATTATGCTTTTACACCATAGCATGCTTACAAGAGTTTAAAAAAAAGCTGAGACTGGAGGCAGCTGCTCTTGCTAGTCATCTATAGAATGAAACAATATAGATCTAGAGTAGTATGTTTAATCCCTTTTATGAAGCTGTAGCAACAACTGCTTGGACTCGCATCTATTTTAGGTTCTAGTAAAAATGATTATTCTGAACCTTTCCCAATATGTTGCTTTTTAGATATATTGAGACTGCAACTTTTGCAGCATGACCAGTATGTCTAAAGAACAGCATATTGAGAAAAGCAGCTTAGAAAAGAAAGTAACATTTCCAGCATTTTTTTTTATTATTTAAAAATATTTAACAATCATTACAACAATTTTCCCCCTCCCACCCCCCCATCCTCCCTCCCCCTCCCACCCCCTCCCCCCCAACACCCACCCCCCGGACTTCCCAGAGCAAAAACAGGGTATAGCATAACAAACATAAACTAAAATAGGCTAACTTTCTTTGGTCTCCAAACTCCCCCTTGCTCTTTAACTTCCCTTTCAACTAACTAAACATATTCAAAAAGAAAATATAGATTTCATTCATAAGCTATTTGAAACTTTTTAGCCCGATATTTGTTTTGAATATAGTCAATCCATCTTCTCCATTCCAATATATATCTTTCATTTGAATGGTCCTTCAAATACGCTGAAATTTTAGCCATCTCTGCTAAATTCTTTACTTTTAGTGTCCATTCTTCAATAGTAGGCAAGTCTTCCTTCTTCCAGTACTGTGCCACCAAGAGTCTGGCTGCTGTTATTAAATTTAAAATCAACTTAGTCTTTATAACAGTACAATCTGTAATTATGCCTAACAAAAAGAACTGTGGAGTAAATTTTATCTTCTTTTTGAGAATATTTTAAATAATCCATATTTTTATCCAAAATGCCTTAATTTTTTTACATGTCCACCATATATGATAATACGTGGCATCATCACATTCACATCTCCAACACTTAGGTTGCACACTTAGATACATACAGGCTAGCTTTTTAGGATCCAGATGCCATCTATAAAACATTTTATAAAAATTCTCTCTTAAATTTTGGGCTTGCGTGAACTTCACATTTCTAACCCATATTTTTTCCCATGTTTCCATCATTATTGGTTCTTCAATATTTTGTGCCCACTTTATCATACAGTCCTTAACTAACTCCGTTTCTGAATCTATTTCTACCAATGCATTAAACAACCTTTTTATGTGCATTTGACTTTGATCTCTAATCTGTTTTACCAAGTTCTCCTCATTTTGCAGAAAACCAATTTTCTGATCTTCTCTCCATCTAGCTTGCAACTGTACATATTGAAACCATGTTCGAATTGTCCTTTCTTCTCTTAGTTGATTCAAAGATTTTAATTGTAGTATACCTCTTTCCTTGTTAAGAAGCTCGTTATATGTAATCACATCCTGCCTTTGCTCTACACTTATATTCTCTATCGCGTGTCTGGGTATTGCCCACAATGGTAACTTCTCGTTTAGTTTATACTTGTACTTTTTCCAGACACGCAATAGAGCATTCCTTAATATATGACTTTTAAAAGTCTTGTCCGCTTTCTTATCATATAATAAATAAGCATGCCACCCGTAAACCAAATCATATCCCTCAATATTCAATATTCTTTCTTCTGTTAAATTCATCCAGTTACTCATTGCTGATAAAACAGCTGCCTCATAATATAGTCTTAAGTTAGGCATTTTGAGACCTCCTCTTTCACGTATATCCTGCATTATTTTTTGTTTTATTCTCGGTCTCTTCCCTGCCCAAACAAAATTATTAATACCCTTCTGCCATATCTTCAAATTCTCATCTTTTTTAAGTATTGGTATCATTTGAAAAAGAAACAAAAACTTAGGCAAAACATTCATTTTTACTGCTGCTATTCTTCCTAACAAGGTTAATTGTAATTTTCTCCAGTTTTCCATCTCTCTCTGTATTTTTTGCCACAATGGATCATAATTATACTTAAATAATTTCGCATTTGATGTCATAATATAGACCCCTAAATACTTAACTTTTTTTACAATTTCAAATCCTGTTAGTCTTTCTAATTCTTCTTTTTGATTTATAGTCATATTTTTAGTTATTATCTTTGTTTTCCCTGCATTTATTTTAAATCCAGATACTTGTCCATATTGATTAATTATATCCATTAGACCTACAACCGACTGTAATGGTTGGGTTAAAGTAACAACCAAGTCGTCTGCGAATGCTCGTAATCTATAGTCATACTGCCTAATCTTAATTCCACTTATTTTGTCCGACCCACGTATTTTACTTAACAAAAATTCCAAAGTCAAGATAAACAATAATGGAGACAAAGGGCATCCTTTTCTTGTTCCGTTTTCTATATTAAAAGTATCTATTAAACTACCATTAATTATTATTTGCGCTGTTTGTTTCTGATATAGTGCCTTAATAGATTTTGTGAAATGTTCTCCAAACTGCATCTTTTCTATTATTTTCCATAAAAATTGCCAATTCAATCGATCAAATGCTTTCTCTGCATCAAGAAATATCAGCACCGCAGGGATTTGGTTGTTCTTCCCCAAATACTCCAATAGGTTAACAAGTTGCCTTACATTACTCTTCATTTGTCTACCATTTATAAAACCACTTTGATCATTATGAATCATTTGTTGCATTACTAGCATTAACCTATTTGCTAATATTTTAGCAAAAATCTTGTAATCTGTATTTAAGAGTGATATGGGCCTATAATTTTTTGGCTGGGTGTGGTCTTGCTCCTCCTTTGGAATCAAAGAAATATAAGCTGTCCTCCAAGATGGGGGTACATCTCCTCCAGATTGTATATTAGTAAATAATCCTTTAAGTGGTCCCACCATTTCTATCTGCAAATGTTTATAATAAGCAGCTGTCAAGCCATCCGTCCCAGGAGCTTTACCCACTTTCAACTGCTTAATTGCAAACATAATCTCCTCAATGGTTATTGGTTGATTTAAACCCTCCCTTTACTCTTTTGTAATTGTAGAAATATTCTCTTTCTGTAAATATCTATCTATATCTGTACCTTGAATTTTATCACCAGCATACAACCTCGTATAAAATTCTAAAAATGCTTTTTTACTCATATTTTGCTGATAAACCTCTTTACCTTTATATTCTATTTTCTCTATAGTCTGTGACTTTTGTTTTTTCCTTAACAAATATGCTAACCACCTCCCTGGTTTATTAGCATTACAAAAAATATTATATTTAGCATATTGCAAATTAGTTGCGACCTGATCTGCCATTAACATATTAAATTGCCCTCGCAATAAATTAATTGCCTCTTTTATTTTCTTATCTGCTGGATTCAATATCAAAGCTTGTTCTTTTTTTCTGATTTCCTCTTCTAAATCCTTCCTTTTTTCCCCTATATTTATTATTCAAATATATCAAAATGCCTCTCATATATGCTTTACTTGCATCCCAACCATTTCCATAGGTGTACCCTTATGCATATTTATAATAAAAAATTCTTTCATAAATTTTTTACACTCTTTTACATTTTCCTCATATCTAAACAGATTTTCATTTAACCTCCAAGACCTCTTAGATCCCCTTCCATACTCTAATTCCATCCAAACTGGACTATGATCCGTTAAAGCTCTTGGACAAATCTTCGTCTTCTTCACCCTGGAAAAGAAATTATTTGTAATTAATATAAAATCAATCCTGGAGAAAGATTGATGTCTATCAGAAAAAAAGGTAAAGTCTTTTTCTTCGGGGTTTCTCTCTCGCCAGATATCTCTCAGTTCCATATCCTCCATTATTTCAAAAAACGATTTTGGCAATCTGGCATGCGTTGAAATGTTCTGCAAGAGCTCCTTATCTTTTTTAGTGTCCAAAACTCCATTCCAATCACCCAATAAAATACATGATTTATAGTCCCATTGTAGTAACTTGGAATGTAAAAGCTTATAAAAATTTTCCTGTTGTTGGTTCGGTGCATAGACTCCAATTAAAAGTATTTTTCTCCTTTTATTAAAAGTTCAATTGCTATAAATCTTCCTTGATCATCTGCTTCAATTAATTTGGCAATTAGGTCTTTTTTTAGGTATATAACTATACCATTCTTCTTCTCAGGAGCAGATGCAACAAAATGTATAACTAACCTTGCATTTATTAAGTATTTTTGATCTTTACTTCTAATATGAGTCTCTTGTAAACAAATTACATTATTGGTATAGAAATCTCTTGCCTTCCACACTGAATTGAGACGATATCTTTCTCCTGAATAATTCACCACTAGACCACCTGGAACTTCCCATCTATACTGTATCTGGACGGTATCTCAGTTCTTCCACCAGAAAGCCATAATCCTTTCTGGCTCTCAACATTTTGGGGGGAATTTCTTTCAATGTTAAA